CCCTCAGACCCCTCAGACCCCTCAGACCCCTCACATCCCTCAGACCCCTCACATCCCTCAGACCCTTCAGACCCCTCAGACCCCTCAGACCCCTCACATCCCTCAGACCCCTCACATCCCTCAGACCCCTCAGACCCCTCAGACCCCTCAGACCCCTCACATCCCTCAGACCCCTCAGACCCCTCACATCCCTCACAGCCCTCAGGTCCCACACCATCCCCCGCCCCCCCTGTCACCCCGCGTATCCTCACACCTGCACCCCCTCCTTCTCTCACCCGGTCCCACAGCCTCACAGTCCCCACACCCCCCGTCGCCCCCCGACCCGTCCCCTCTCACAGCCCGCCGAGCAGCACCTCCGGTGGGTTCCTGCGGCATGGAGCAGCCACCCTGGACAGAGACAGCACCGAGGTGTCTCTGACTGCACTTTGTGATCTCCTGTAGGTGCAGTGAGCGGAGAAACAACCCACTGAAGACCCTCTTCATCACCACACTGCTTCCAGGCACCCAGGGCAAGGGTTTAATGGGGTTGAGAGGAAGCTGAGCCCAAGGAGATGCTTCCCTCAGGTGTGACCAAGTTTAACTCTGCAATAATTCCTGGTTATTTTCACAGGCTAAAACCCTGTGAAATTTCAAAGCACAAAGACACTTGGTTTCCATGCAAGCTTAGGACACCTTCACACAAACATAGTTTGCTTGAGGCTGGAAAGGATCCCTGGAGCTCATGCAGTCCAAGCCTCCTGATCACCCAGGAGCAGCTAGAAGTCACCTGCCACCATTTCTTTAATGTCTCTAAGGATAGAGACTCCATAACATTTCTGGGCAGCCTCTGCCCATGCTTGGTCATCCTCACAGAGAAAGAGTTTCCTGGGATTCAGAGGGAGAGCCTTAATTGTGTTTGTGCCCGTTGGCTCTTTCCCCGTCCCTGAGTGCTGCTGGGAAGGGTCCAGCTCTGTCCTGCTTGTTCTGCTCTCAGCTACTTCTGGGCATTCTCTGTTCCAGGCTAACCAGGAGCAGCTGTCTGAGCCTCCTCACTTCTCACAAAGGTCCTGTGGGCATCTTCTGGTTGACAGTGCCAGAGGCTCTGCTGAAATCCAGGTGGGCATTGTCCACAGCCTTGCCTTGGGCCACTCAGGTCATCGCAGGAGGGCTGTGGGTTGCTCAAGCACCTCTTCCCCTCGGAGCAGCCAGCCTGGCACTTCTCATCACTGAGGCGGGCACTTCTTCTGTTGCTGGGTGCCCGTGGTGGTGCTTTTGGAGCGTTCTCACATCTGTGAGCGACAGGACTCCCCGATGGTCCCCAGACTCCAAGGGTATTTCCTCAGAGCGCAGCTCGCAGGGTGTCCTCGCAGACGCTGCTTGGCACAGGGGCTGTGTGAGACCCTGCAGGAGGGTCAGGCTGCCCCACTGACCCCATGTCAGCACACAGTGACACTCACCAGGTGAGTGCAGCACACCAGCACGGCAGCTGAGGGCAAACTGACAGCCAAACAAGCCACCACAGTCCTGCAATGAGCAGCAAGTCACAGCACAGCATCC